CAGGCTTCAAAATGTGGATAATAAGAAACTTCTGTGAATTAAAAGAACTTGTTCTAACCCAATCCAAAGAAACTAAGAACTTTGAAAAAAGGTTTGACGAAATGTTAACAAGAATACACAATTTAGAGAGGAATATAAGTGAATTGATGGAGCTGAAAAACACAATACGAGAACTACGTGAAGTATGCACAAGTTTTAACAGCCGAATTGATCAAACAGAAGAAAAGATATCAGAGGTCCAAGACCAACTCAATGAAATAAAACAAGAAGACAAGATTAGAGAAAAAAGGATAAAAAGGAATGAGCAAAGTCTCCAAGAAATATGGGACTATGTGAAAACACCTAATCTACACTTGATAGGTGTACCTGAATGTAACGAAGAGAATGAATCCTAACTGGAAAATATGCTTCAGGATATTATTCAGGAAAATTTTCCTAACCTAGTAAGGCAGGATAATATTCAACTCCAGGTAATACAGAGAACACCACAGAGATATTCCTCAAGAAGAGCAACTCCAAGGCACATAATCGTCAGATTCACCAGGGTTGAAATGAAGGAGAAAATACTAAGGGCAGCCAGAGAGAAAGGTCAGGTTACTCACAAAGGGAAGCCTATCAGACTTACAGCAGATCTCTCAGCAGAAACCCTACAAGCCAGAATAGAGTGGGGACCAATATTCAACATCCTTAAAGAAAAGAACTTTCAACCAAGAATTTCACATTCAGCCAAACTAAGCTTCATAAGTGAAGGAAAAATAAAGTTTTTTGTGAACAAGCAAGCACTCAGAGATTTCATCACCACCAGGCTTGCTTTACAAGAGCTTCTGAAAGAACCACTACACATAGAAGGGAACAAACAGTATCAGCCTTTCTAAAAAATATTAAAAAGTAAAGAGCATCAATATAATGAAGAATTTACATCAACTAATGGGCAAAACAGCCAGCTAATATTAAATGGCAGCATTAAACTCATATATATCATTATTAATTCTAAATTTAAATTGACTAAATCCCCCAATCCAAAGACAGACAGGCAATTTGGATAAAAAACTAAAACCCATCAGTATGCTGCATCCAGACCCATCTCACATTCAAGGATACACAAAGACTCAAAACAAGGGATGGAGAAAGATTTACCAACAAAACAGAGGGCAAAAATAAATAAATAAAAAGCAGAAGTTACAATTTTTGCCTCTGATAAAATAGTCGTTAAAGCAACAAAGATCAAAAGAAGCAAAGAAGGACATTATATAATGATAAAAGGATCAATGCAACAACAAGAAGAGCTAAAGATCCTAAATATATATGCACCCAATACAGGAATACCCAGACATACAAGACTAATAAAAAGACTTAGACTCCCACACATTAATAGAGGGATATTTCAACATTAATATTAAACAGATCAATGAGACAGAAAATTAACAACGATATCCAGGACTTGAACTCAGATCTGGAACAAGTAAACTTAATTAACATTTATAGAACTCTCCACTTTAAATACACAAATTATACACTCTTATCAGTACCACATCATATCAACTTAGAAGTTTAAACAAAATGTCGGTTGGCCCCTTGTTTGTTATTCTCTTCCCTCATTTTCTTTCATGTCTCCATTATTAAGGACAATCATAGGCAAAAAAAAAAAAAAAAAATCTGCTGTTGAACCCCTCTAATAAGTTTTACCTTCAGTTACTATACTTTTCAGGTCTAAAATTTCCATTTGGTTCCTTTTTACAACTCTTTTCTTTTATTGCTCTTCTTATTTTGTTCATACATTGTTTTCCTGGCTTCCTTTCATTCTTTGTCCACGGAATTAGGATATGGACATCCTTGGAAGGCCATTATTCTACCTGATACATTATAATAAACATGATGTACTTGATATAACAAAAAAACATGAGTTCAAAGGCTTCTTAAAATGACCTGCATAATGTGCTTGGATTTGCCCCAGAGCAAATGATTTCATGAAAATCCTCTCATCACCATCTTCCATCTTTACATTTTATAGGCCCAAAATGAAAAACAAGTAAAAATCAATAATCTACACAAAGATTGTATATTCACCCTGCAGATAAAAGACCCATACACCTGTTTCAACATTGTTCATTTTCCCCACATATAACTTTATATCATAACGGTATAAAAACATTATGTCAAAGGGTTTTTAACATATGAAAAAATTATTCTTCTCCACTGACTATAAAAGAAATGCAAATCGTGATGACCATTTTTTGCAATGTCGGAGAGAATGTAAGGTAAGGCCAGGAGCAGTGGCAATCCCACCACGTTGGGAGGCTGAGGCAGGCAGATCACAAGTTCAAGAGATCAAGATCATCCTGGCCAACATGGTGAAACCTCGTCTTTAATAAAAATACAAAAATTAGCTGGGCATGGTGGTGCACACCTGTAGTCCCAGCTACTAGGGAAAGCTGAGGCAGGAGAATCACTTGAACCCGGGAGGTGGAGGTTGCAGTGAGCTGAGACTGCACCACTGCACTTCAGCAGTGAGAGTAAGACTCGTCTCAAAAAAAAAAAGAAAAGAAAAGAATATAGGGTAAGAGGCACTCTCATAGTTGGTAGTAAATATAAGTACAGCTTTCAGGGAGAGCAGTTTGACAGTATCTGTCAAAACTTAAAATGCACATACCCCGTGTCAGCATTAACTCTATTTCTAGGGATTTTTCCTGTAGATACTCTCAGATGTTCTGAAAAATATAGATACAAGAATATCCAAGGTACCATTATTATAATGGTAAAATATTGGAAACAGTAAAAATGTCCATCTCTAGGGAAGTGGTTAAACAAATCGTGTATGTTCTGAGGTTAAGAACCAAGGTTGCACCTTAGAGAAAGTGAAAAGACAAGCAACAAACTGAAAGATCCCACAAATATCGAGGATGTATAAATAACTCCTACCAATTAATAGAGAAATAGTACAATAGTGGAAGGTACAATAGATATAATCAAACATTTTACAGAAGAAACACATAAAGCTCACAAACATATGAAAATACAAGAAACCTCACTGAAAATTAAAAAAATACAAAATGAAATCGCAGTGATATGCTATTTTTTTACCTTTTCAATTGGCAAAAAGTAAGATGTCTGATGAAACCAAGCATTAAAGAGAATATGGATCAAAGGATGCTCTTACACCTTGCTGAGGCAGTATAAATTGGAACAATTTAAACTTTGTTAAATTGTATGGGTATTGTTTCATGAAATTGAATATTTGCATCCTCTCTGATCTAGCAATTCCACTCCTAGACACACCCAAATAAAGCTTAGCATACGTGTACCTGGAAACACTAAAAGAATGTTCAAGATCTGATGGTTTTAAAAACAGGAGTTTCTCTGCACAAGTCCTCTCTTTGCCTGCTGCCATCCATGTAAGACATGAATTGCTCCTCCTTGCCTTCCTCCATGATTGTAAGGCCTCCCCAGGGATGTGGAACTGTAAGTTTAATAAACCTCTTTCTTTTGTAAATTGCCCAGTCTCGGGTATGTCTTTATAAAAAAAAAAAAAAAGAATGTTCAGAACAGCACTAATCATATTGCAAAAACTAAAAACAACCTAAATTTTCTTACTATGTTCACATAGTGGAATATTATACAGGAAGAAAATTAAGTCACAAGCAACAAAACTTTAGTAGCAAAGCAAACCCCAGAAGGGAATACAGATTATTAAAATCTTTTTGTAAAGCTAACAATGAACGTGATTTAAAAAACACCCCATCCCCAAAAGGAATGATAAAAACACAATTCAAGAGGGTAGGTGTCCTTGAAGGAAAGGCAAAGTGATGGAATAGGGATGGAGAACAAACAAAAAAGTTGTGTTGTTTGTTCTTGGCTTAGGTGGTGGGTTCATTTATTAGTATAGATAAATGAAAATAAATGAGTAAGATGGGTGTGCGATGGCCCAATGATGAAACTGTATCATAAACAAAGGATTATATTTAATCCAATACTTCGTACTTAGAGAAAACAACATTCCTCAAGGAATGCTTGTAGAAGCTTTGTTTGTAATAGCAAAAACCTGAAAATAACCCAAATGTCCTTCAGGTGGTGAATGGATAAATTTCAGCATATTCATTCTGTGAACTACTACTCAGAAATAAAAAGGAAAAAAATTTGTGATACACACAACAGCCTAGATGGACATCAAGGGCATTATGCTTATTGAAGAAAGTCAATTGCAAAAGACTATTCATTGTATGGCTCCATTTAATAACATCCTCAAAGTGACAAAACTATAGCTATGGAGAATGAATTAGTAGTTGTCAGGAACATGACAGGGTGAAGGTGTGCCTACAGAGGGGCAGCACCAAGAATTTCCTCTGTGGTGAGAAAATAGTTCTGTATCTTGATCGTGATGGTGATTACACAAATTATACATGAGATTAAATTGTATAGAACTATATATAAATCACCCCACAAAAACAGTATATAATAAAGCTATAGTATTCTAAGTACGTTGTTTCAGATACATGAATAGAAAAGAAAGACCAGTTATGGATCCAAAATTGAGTATCTGATAAAATGACATTTTAAATTAGTGGCCAAAGATGGATCATTTAATAAATATTCTCTGTCAAATAGATCTAAGATATATATAAGTAAAAAAGCAAACTAATTAAAGCTAGGAGACAGCATGGGAAATGTTTTCTTAAATAATCAAGGAGAAATTCAAAAAACAAAATATTTATATAGATGACTTCATAAAAATTAAAAATAACACACAGTAAATAATACAATAAATAAAGTCAAAATATAAATAACAAGCTGGAAATAATGTTTGTTATACATCAGACAAAAGTTGATTTTGTTAACATGTAAAGAGGACTTACAAATCAATGAGACAAATTACCAATTTAAAAATGGGAAAAGACATGAACAGAAAGTTAATAACAATAAAAAACTAAAAGCATGGCTGCAAAATATATAATGTGCAGTGTCACCTACAGTTTTAAAAATATGAATTAGGTCGGCCCCGGTGACGGCGGGGGCGCGCGCGACGGTCCCCTCGGTCTGGCAAGCGGCTAGATTACGTGAACCATGCCAGAAGACTGGCTGAAGATGACTGGACAGGGATGGAGAGTGAGGAGGAAGATAAGAAAGATGACGAAGAAATGGACATTGACACTCAAGAAGTTACCAAAACGCTATGCTAATCAATTGATGCTTTCTGAGTGGTTAATTGATGTGCCTTCAGATTTGGGGCAGTAATGGATTGTGGTCGTGTGCCCTGTTGGAAAAAGATCCCTTATCGTAGCCTCCAGGGGTTCTACCAGTGCCTACACCAAGAGTGGCTACTGTGTCAACAGGTTTCCCTCCCTTCTGCCAGGAGGCAACAGGCGAAACTCAACAGCAAAAGACTACACCATTCTAGATTGCATTTACAGTGAGGTAAACCAAACCTACTACATACTGGATGTGATGTGCTGGCGGGGACACCCATTTTATGATTGCCAGACTGATTTCCGATTCTACTGGATACATTCAAAGTTACCAGAAGAAGAAGGACTGAGAGAGAAAACCAAGCTCAATCCTTTTAAATTTGTGGGGCTAAAGAATTTCCCTTGTACTCCTGAAAGCCTGTGTGATGTGCTATCTATGGATTTCCCTTTTGAGGTAGATGGACTTCTCTTCTACCACAAGCAGACCCACTACAGCCCCGGATGTACTCCCTTGGTGGGCTGGCTACGCCCCTACATGGTGTCAGATGTCCTCGGTGTAGCTGTACCAGCTGGCCCGCTGACCACCAAGCCAGAATATGCTGGACACCAGCTCCAGCAGATTATGGAGCACAAGAAGAGCCAGAAGGAGAAACTTACACACAAGGCCTCCGAGAGTGGGCACTATGAGTTGGAGCACCTGTTTACCCCCAAATTGAAGAGTTCTCCCCACAGCCCAGACCAACCTGGAAACCTCATGGAGAATTAAAGTGGGAAGCCTCCTTAAGAAGCTACAGGATGGTACCTGGCCCCAAAGGGAGTACTGGGGAGGAGGACAGTAATAACAGGTGACTTCATTCTTTAGAGCGAACCTGGCCAGAAAGAGTTTATCTATAATTTGAAATGCTGGCTCAAACAGTTGTGTGGAGGCTCCCAGACTGGGTAGCATTCAGGCTGATTTGAGCAGCTCCCACTGTGATAAGTGTATACTAGATCCGCAATGTAAATGTATGTGATTCGTAAGAAAAAAAAATATGAATTAAAATTTAAAAAATTAAAAAATTTATAGTAAATTGTATTGGCCAAGGCTTGAGGGGAAATAATTAGCTAATTGACATTTCAGAAGGCTGGAGACCTCAAATCTTACAGGTAATTATCGTTTCATTCACATGTTTATTAATTCAACAACTCAAAATACTTAAGCATCAACCATGTGCCAGGCATTATTGGTGCTGAGTGTGCAGCAGTGAATAACATAAAGACCTCTACCCTTATGAAACTTATATTCATTCAGTAGGGAATAAGGAGATGTGGTAGGAATAAGCTTTGAATGAAGAGAGGATAAGATGGGAGAAACAAGGATGAACTTTACCTATATCACATCTCCATATACAGAATCTCCTCCCTCTCAATTTTTTGGCAATATCTTGCCCAACTACTTCAAGATTCATCTCAAATGAATCCTACCTCCTCTCTGACTACTTCCCACCTACCCCACATTGTTAAAAAAAAAAATTCTTTAAGGCTGGGCACAGTGGCTCATGCCTGTAATTCCAGCACTTTGGAGGCTAAAGTGGGAGGATCACTTGAGCTGAGGAGTCTAAGGCTGCAGTGAGCTAGGATAGCACCATTGCACTCCAGCTGGGCAACAGAGCAAGACCCTATCTATTAAAAAAAAATTTTAATGATAAAACATTATATCATGTAGTGTTATTTTTTATATTTCTTTCAATATATTCAATTGTGCCTTGGACATATCAGATGCTTGGGAAGCAAATGAATGAATTTCTGTCAAAGACTGCATGTGGCATAAGCAAGCAGTACAAATGTTATGAGAGAAAGGAGATAGTTTGCAGGGGAGGGGGAGATAGTTTGTAGGAGAACAGATGACCAGGTTGCTAAGATGTAAAATATTTGCATATGAACTGTGCAACAAATGTGAATTATCAGTACTGTGTCAGCAAATATGAAATTACTTTAAATGGGCCATAATGTAGTGAAAAGAAACAATGAAACACAATAAAGGCAGCCCAATGTGCACATCCATTTTTGTTTGACTATTTTAAAACTAGGTATTAATAGGTAAGGTCAAGAGCCTAAGAAAATATATCTAATTAATAACTAAATAAAAGTACTACAGGATCAAAGAGCTACCCTTTAGGCTTTTCACCACCCTACATTTAATTAACTGAAACTCTTTTGAAGTAGAACCAATTTAGTCTTTTTGAAAGAAAATATTTTCCCCCAATGCTATCATTATAAATCCAGAACATATCCTTATTTTAGCAAGTCATAAAAGTCACCTTCTTTTGTGTATACTTATAATTCAAGCATTTAGTAAAGAGAGCTTGCAGAACATTCAGGAATAAAAAAAAAACTGAAAATAAGCACAAAAGAGACATAATAAAAAGCCAGCATCACAATGCTCAAATTACATGGTGCTGGGAAATGTGTAATAAATGCACTTTTTAAAGGTTACACATCACCAAACTCCCTTTTCACCAACATCAGGCCAGGGAACTAACACAAAAGGACAGACAGAATAAAAAAAAATAATGACATAATTTAAGTCAGTGATTCATTAGGAAACAGTTCCTGAGGGTCAAATGAGTCATCAAGTTTAAGCAGTAAAATTTTCTAATTTTTATTTAGGGGGCAAGTACTTTGCTCTACCCCTACTTCAAGTCAGTATTGCAACAAATAAAAAGTAACAAAAACATATTTTAAAAATATGAAAATATTTTTTAAAATTTAAAAAGAAAAAAAAAAAAGAGGGAGTGGTTTTGCATCTGTGATGGGTAGAAACCAGAATCAGTTCTAAAATTCTGCTTGTGGCTGGCAGCCAGATCCCAAGGCAGAATGTGGCTGTTCCAGAGCAGAACTGGACAGAATGGACTCCTTAGAAGGGCGTGCTGTGTAAGGACCAGTCACTACTGGCATGTTCCAAATTAGGCCAGTTCCAACTTGGGCAACAGCCCTTTTCTAAGTTAGTTTCAACTTGCCAATTGTTGGTACCTATTCCCAGGGTTACCATAGGAGACTGTGTACTCCAGTACCTCTTGGCTGCTCCATGAGCTGGGGAGTCTGCTAGCTTCTACACTTCAGACTGGACCTATCAAGGCCACCTGCTGAAGTGGTTGTGTTCTTCTGCTCAAGACACCCTGACAATAGGGAGAGAGGCCAGTGAACATATGGCCTGGTTACCAGTCCATGCCCAGCTGATGGACTGAATGGATCCAGTCCATACTCTGTAGACAGTGGCACAGAATCTGTAGTGGGTGAGAGCGGGGAAGACAAAACTTTTGTATCTACACAAAACTCTTCTGCCCCACTGGTCTTTGGGTTCTCCATCCTTACTCATGTACTCTGCATTGTGATCTATTTCTTAGCATCAAGCCTGTCTTCTCCACAGCTAGCATGAAATGCTCAGCATAGAGACATCCACGTAGCCCGTGGCTCTCATTGTTCCCTGACCTTAATCTACTCAGCCACTTCATGTTTCTAAGCCCGTCCCAAATCTTCCTTCTGCTTTTCTCCTGCCTTCAGTCCAGCAGTCAAAACATCTTTTCTCCTCCATGACCTCTCCAGTTGTCATGGTAACCAAAAGACAGGTACAAAACTAAAGAACTATATAGCAAGGCTAGATGCAAACTTGGATTATCCCCAGGTAACTGGCTGAGATCACATTTCTTTTCATCTTGAAAACATGTAATAAACAAGCAACAATCTTTGTGGTTAGTTTTAACAATTTAAATTTAACATGCTTAGTTTAAAAAGGAAGAGAAAAACCGGCTCAACTTGTTTTAAAGAGGCTTCTTGGCAGCCTTTGAGGTTGCCTACTTTAATTAACTCAAGTTTTTAAAGACCTTATTGAAAAAAAAACTTCAAAAGTGACTGCCAAAATAATTTAATCAAATTCTAATCACTTCAGACAAATAATTATTCTTCCTTCCTTCCTTCCTTTCCTTTCCTTCCTTCCTTCCTTCCTTCTTTCCTTCCTTCCGTCCTCTCTCTCTCTCTCTCTCTCTCTCTCTCTCTCTCTCTCTCTCATGCTTTCTTCTTTTGAAATAAGGTCTCACTTTGTTGCCCAGGTTGGAATGCGATGGCATGATCACAGCTCACTGCAGCCTCAGCCTCCTGGGTTCAAGCAGTACCCCCCACCTCAGTCTCCCGAGTAGCTGAGACCACAAGTGCATGCCACCATGCCCATCAAATTTTTAAATGTTTTCTAGAGACGAATTCTCCCTATGTTGCCCAGGCTGGTCTCAAACTTCTGGGCTTAAGTGATCTGCCTGCCTTGACATCTCAACATGCTGGGATTGCAGGTATGAGCCACCACACTCAGCCCCTATTTCTTCATAAGAAGACTTCTTTTTTTTTTTTTTTTTTTTTTTTTTGAGACGGAGTTTCACTCTTGTTACCCAGGCTGGAGTGCAATGGCGCGATCTCGGCTCACTGCAACCTCCGCCTCCTGGGTTCAAGCAATTCTCCTGCCTCAGCCTCCTGAGTAGCTGGGATTACAGGCACGTGCCACCATGCCCAGCTAATTTTTTTTTTGTATCTTTAGTAGAGACGGGGTTTCACCATGTTGACCAGGATGGTCTCGATCTCTTGACCTCGTGATCCACCCGCCTCAGCCTCCCAAAGTGCTGGGATTACAGGCTTGAGCCACCGCGCCCGGCTACAAGAAGACTTCTTTACATAAAAGCAGGTTGTCCATAGAGATCCATCCTTGCTTACTTTGTCATGATTAAGATCAAACAGAAACAATTTCTCCAATTGTTCAATGAGCAAATATTGTACAGAGAATGGACTATACTATTGGGACAGATTTTATAGCAATTATTTGAAAAAGTACTCATGAGACCAGATTATTATTGCCTCTAATGTAAAAGTTCATGCACTCAAATATAAGAATTGAGTCCCTGTTCATCTCTTTATTAACTACAGTCCCTTGAGGCTCCTGTGGGTGCCGTATGGTGTGTTCTTTTCTTCCTCAGGATGTCTGGATGTCACAGTGCATTCAGGAGCTTAGGATAGTATGTCCTCTCTCTCTTTATTTGGCATGCTTCTCTCCACCTCTCTCTCTCTCTCTCTCGCTCTCTCTCTCTTTTTCTTATTTCCTTTTATTTATTTATTTATTATTGTATCTGGGCTCTGGGGTACATGTGCACATCCTGCATCCTACAGGATTGTTGCATAGGTAAATACATGCCATGGTGGTTTGCTGTCTCCATCCCCGCCTCCCTACTTCACCTACATCAGGCATCAGGCATTTCTTCCAGTGTTATCTCTCCCCATCTTCCCCACCAACCCTCGCTGTCCCTCCCCTCCTCACCATCCCCCATCCTAGCCCTGTGAGTGTTGTTCCCTTCCCTGTGCCCAAGTGTTCTCATTGTTCATCACCCACCTGTGAGTGAAAACATGTGGTGTCTGGTTTTCTGTTCTTGTGTCAGTTTGCTGAGAATGATGGTTTCTAGGTTTATCCGTGTCCCTACAAAGGACACGAACTCATCATTTTTGATGGCTGCATAATATTCCATGGTGTATATGTGCCACATTTTCCCTGTCCAGTCTATCATCGATGGGCATTTGGGTTGGCTCCAGGTCTTTGCTATCATAAACAGCATCGCAATGAACATACATGTGCATGTGTCTTTATGATAGAACAATTTATAATCCTTTGGGTATATACCCAGTAATGGGATTGCTGGGTCAAATGGAATTTCTATTTCTACATCCTTGAGGAATTGCCACACTATCTTCCATAATGGTTGAACTAATTTACACTCCCACCAACAGTGTAAAAGTGTTCCTTTTTCTCCACATCCTCTCCAGCATCTGTTGTCTCCACCGCTCTTTTTGTTATTTCTCCTATTGCAGGCACTTCTCCCTTTTCCCATGCTGCAGAGCTC